AGTGGTGACGGGCGTCCATGTTAACAGTGGAGTTACTATCCGAAGCGTGTTCGATAAACTAATGACGGCAGAAAAATTTTCGTATGCTCCTAGAACATGTTGCACGAACAAAGAAAACTATTTTTAACCGACTCCAAAATCGAAAAGGAGGAGGTTATATGTTCGACGGCGATGTATTTTTTTGATGCAATTTTTTTGCTCTCCCTATGTTTGCTTAGTTTTTAATATAAAGTCATAAGTGAAAATTTAAAAAGTGGCAAATTGTTAACTGTGTCGGTTTCAAATTTTACTATGTTGCGGTATCATGCGCTCGTTATCTATATAAAGTGTAAAACAAAGTCGTTTCCCACTGTCTATAAATATAGATCTTTTAAGCTCCACAATGGATTTAATACAGGGTGATTCAATGAAGTTTTATATGTATAATACAGGACGTAAAATTTAATGTCAGAAAACACCCGATAGCTTAGATTCCAAGTCCACTGGTAATTTTTAATATTAATTCTGCTAATAATCGAACCTTGTTCCTCGGATATATCATTATTGAAACCGGCTTGCGAGCCATTCGGCAATCGAGATCATATCACAATTACCTACGAGTTAAATATACTTTCTTAAGTATTTTTTTTATCAAATTTAGATTAAAATTCAGTTGTTTCGTTTAAAAATATACCGATTTATTTTAACAAAGGACACTGGTTTTTATATGTGCTCTCAATGATTTATTCATACAGATATGTTCCATATATGTCAACTACAATAAGCAGTAAAATGCTATTGAATTCGCGCAGCTGCTTTTTTTTATTTAAATGAGTAGTTGAAAAGTAAAAGAATACGCGGTGTGTTATGATAATTTCAAATTAAAATAACGATTTGACGACCTCAGTGGTCGAGTGGGTTATACCGGTATATCGGTTTCAAGGTGTTGCCATCTCTGAGGTCTAGGATTCACTCAGTGTTGATGTAGAAAATTATTTTTTCTATATTATTCCGAGTCTAGGTATTGTAATACCCACGTCATTTTTTTCCAAAATACGAGTGTTAAAAGTTACTTAATGTTGCCGAATATTATTATTATCATGTATATAATTTACATAAAATATATAGTAAAAAATAAGGCTCAATAATTCAAATAAAAGGAAATAGTAATGAAAATGAAAGTCTTGAAAAGTTGCCTCAAAAATTGAAGGTTTAAAAAAAATGTGGAAAATGCCATAATTTTTATTTAGAAAATTGCGCCAATAGTTAGCGGTGTTACGTTTTATGCTCTGGAATTGTCTGGGGATTATTTGCGTCAGTATTTTCCCTCAGAAACGCCCAAAGAAAAATTGTAGGGGTGTATTATTATACGATTTTGTTGGGCTGTAAACGAAAAATGTGAGGAGACATCAATGAATGATCACAATTCGAGTTGTGTTTAAGAAACTCATTGTAAAAAGAGATTTTAATTTAAGTCTAACGAATTGACATTTTAATAATAAAAATGATGTAATATATATTTTTTATGTTTTTCATTTAAGCCTTATTGTATACTAGCTGTTTACTCGTGACTTCGTCTGTGTAAGTTATAACCTTTGCCACTCTCATAATGTAGCTCCCACAAGAAGGAAAGAATTTTTAAAATCGGTGCAGTACTTTCGATGTCTTTTTGATGCAAACAAACAATCAAAACTTGTCAAAAAAATATATAAAACATTTTTATAAATGTCCACAGTGAAATAAAAGTGTGGTATTGATATAAAACTCCATTTTGATACTTCTTATTTATGCCAAGTCAGTTTATAGTCACTTTATAGACTCGTGCTGGTGGCAATAAAATTTGTATTTTCCATTGTAAAGCGATCTCCGTTATCTTAGAATAAAGTAATAGTTACATGCATTTCGATAACACTGGGAGTTCAAGTGTGACTGGTCGGTGTGCTGTTTCATCCGATTTTGGAGTATATGCACGTAAACTGTAGGCGACGTCCGTATGGCTACTGTTTCCTTTAGATTACAAATGCACTGAACTGTTTTTGTGTATCTATCATAAAAACTAATAGTAAATCGGAGCGTGAACTGATTTTAGTACTACGAAAAGAAGCAACTTGAATAACAAAATTTATATTTTTGTAAAGTTATTATTATTCTAATTTGATATTTTCTATTTTTAAAACATTTTTTAAATAGCTCTATAATGTTGCGTTATTAAGATACAAAGCTCTGTCCATTACTTTTATCAGACCGTGGATAAGATATCATACCAAAATCCTTGCCGGAACCAATCAAACGAGTCTAAACTCGATAAATTGCAATGGTCTCTTGGCTATCGTTTAACTCCATCGTCAGATTAGCTCCATTCTAAGTTATATTTGTATGCTTCAGCTTACAAGATTTGACAAGTTTTGTTAATGATAATATTTGTTTGCAATTCTCTTGTAATATTGCCCTTATTTTTTTTCTGCATGAATTCATGGCATGAGTATACTAACTATCAATAATTTATGTTTCAATTCTTTTATTCCAGAATTGTTAAATTTTGTTTGTATCCGTATTTTGACTGAAGTATATATATTGTATCCGTATTTTGACTGAAGTAAGTTATAGGTATACTACAGGTTTTATAAATACTATTACTCGTCAAAATTTCGAAATCCTTAAAAACTCAATATTATGCAAAGGTATGATGTTACGAACCAAATTAGGTCCAGTTTCAAAATAAAATTTAATAATATTTTTTTAAATTAATATGTAACCATGTCGAAGCCCTTGCATGTCGATGTTTTTGTTAAACTTATCGACTGCGACGAATCAGCGATTTGCATGTTAATGTGACGTTAAAAACTTGGTAATGCAATGCAGTGAAATGTAACAACAAAAAACCTGTTTGTCAATTAAAAGATCCGTTTAAATTAAGAAGACAACATTCAGGTAGGTAAATTTTAATTATTGTTATCTTACTACTGTCAGCATTCGATTCGATTAAGATATATGGTTTTTTGAAATGTTATTTTTTTAAATACATTATCATAATAAATATTATCTTTTATGAAAAAGCACTGTCGGCGTTTATAAATTGTGTTTTTATAATTCTATTTTGAAAAATCTTAGATGAAGTAGGTAAAACATATTTGTTTCTAATGAATCACATTACTTATAGGTATGAATATCCACGACAGATCAGTACAATTTTTCTATTATATAAGAAAAATAATATATTCATGTTCATACCAGACTAACTTTGCGTTTAAGTATGCAAAGTTATACTTCTGCTTTAATTTAGAGTCTAATAATTTTGTTACATTATTTTCTTAGATGTCGATTGTTAAATATGAATTCATATTTTCAATGACATTTATTTTAGTAACTGAAACAAATGAATCCATAGTTTTCTATACTGTCGTAAGAAGGGTTCTATAAACTTTCCTCTTTACGGTACCGGCGATCAAAGAGAACTCCAGGAATAATAATTGTAAACTTTGAAAGCTTTCAAAAGTCCTTAAAAAAGGGGGTCCAAACCTATTAGCAGTTGAGCCGAGAACGATCGGTATTGTGCGAACTGTGAATGACCTCTTCAGGATAATAATGGGCAAAGGGATGCGCAGGAGCGCGTGCGGGAGGGGCGACCGGTTTGAATTTAGAACGTTTTTTAACTGCGATTGGGGTTACCATGTCATCGTAGAATAATAGTACTCTGCTAAAGTTATAAATGTCAGTAATTTTTAAGTTATAAATTTAAAACTGAAAATGAATTTGAAGATTTAAAAGTGTTTCTATGTGTTTAAAGTAACAATAAAAGTGACAAATCATAAAAATATAATAAAAAACACATATTTAAGAGGCTGTCAAAGCCATCAACACGGAATATTACCTGTTCAAAATCTATTAAAATCATATGAAGATAATTGACCAATAACATTTAAATATGTGAGAAGATTTGAGTGTAATATCCTAAAGAATTTCGACGTAAGTCCACCCTTACTCGAAGCTTTTGTCGGCGCCCGCCCGGTGCGCTCGCGCTAACTCGACAAATGCGTCAAATGAAATAAGCCGTATTTTGTTTCCTTTCCTTTTTACTTTGCCTCAGATTATAGGGGGTTAGATAAAAAAAAGTCTTATTATTGATTTCGGGCAGGGTGCTTGTAGTTATGAAACGCACACGTGTTCTTGTGTGAGCTTTTGGGTTGTTTTTATGTAATGATAATTATAGTTCTTAAGAGTTTTTATTTGAATCGATTTTAGTAGTTGTAAATATATACTATTGTTATTTAAATACGTTTCGTATTGTAGGAGCGCATGAGTAGTCAATTCAGTTTTTTAACACAAGATTGATTTCTCTAATTCTCGTGTAGTTCAATGACAACATCTATAGCCGAGTAATTCGTACGCCGGTTTTAATATGTCACCATCTCTGAGGACCCGGGTTCGATTTCCGGTCGGGTCAATGTAAAAAAATACCTTCGTTATTTTAGACACTCTCATAATACGTTATCGTTTAGCTACTCATTTTGCTGAGAGCAATGAATGTAATGTGTTTAATATTTATTTATTTTAATTTATAAAATTGCTTAAAGTAGCGGTCGCCTATAAAAATTAGAATGAAATGTAATGACTTCGAATCCCATTTCAAACACCTGGATCTGGCAATCTTTTGAGTATTGTTCAATAAAATAAATATCAATATAGCATTTTTATACTATAATTACAATTTAGATTATAAATACATTAATTCAATTGAAACACAAATACTTTTAATCTATTTTCATTTGCTATGATGACATGATTAATAAGCTCGGTGTGAACTAAATTCATGGGATATGCAGCGCCGAATTTAATAAAGCCCTTACAGTACGCGTCGTTATCAAAAGCTCACACATTTCTACGTAGTTGAATTTATATCGTCATATCTCACAATTGGTACATCTGTTTACAATGTAGAGAGGACTGGTAAGGCGCCTTCGTATCCCCCCATTTAGGTTTGGGCGAGAGTAAACACAGATGAGGGAGTAGGGAGGAGCGATAGTACGACGTAAGACTCGAAACCGGTTGGTCGTGTGACGAGTGACGGCTGGTATCGGAGCGTGATGCCGAGTATGTTTACCGAACTTTTTGGAATCAAACTTTGATATTTTGAATGATAAAAGAAAAAAAGTTTTTATTCACGTTGGGCTATATAATAGACAAATGAGGATCGAATGTTAAGAGTGACCATAAAAGTCACGCGCGCATTAAAAACTCTGTGGATCTTTTAAAAAAGTTGTGAACATGTAAATTATTGTCGATGCTGTGAAAATTAAGTTTAACTCGGTGGCAGTATGGTGGATGTTGGTGTTAATGAGTGCGATAACACCATAAAAGGGAGGAACCAATTTGTGTGTCTTGTGCTTGTTCACTTACTTCTTATTGGACTTAATGGAACGAATGGTAATTATAAATTTTATTTCATAAACTTACTCTTGAATTTTTTAACATAAATTTTTTATTTGTTGATAAATGAGTTTCTTGATTTTACGACAAGCAATTATTTGATGTCCAATTAGAAGGCAAATTACTTTTTATGATATTATTATTTAAATCTAACTTATTATTTTTATTGTTTTATACTTAACCAATTAAACAAAAAACCGTTTTGTAATTTATACTTTATCATAAAATCAATTGAGCAATTGTTAAATTTCTTTTGTTTTAATTGACAACAGCAATGTTTGTTTAAACACACGTTTGAAAGCATTTTTTATTCGTCCATTAGTTAGAATAGTTCGGCAGCGCATCGAGTAATTAAACCTACATAGAGCCAATTAACGAAATGTATTTCCATGGTACGGCGTCTATGAAATAATGACTCTTTTTTCCGTAGTCGGTTAATTGAAGTTAATGGTTAGGAGAACAGTAGCTTTAATAAATGGGAGGGAGTATCTTTTATGTTTATATTGTGTTTGTACGAGAGGATATTTGAATGTTTTGTATTGACTTCCCGATCGTAAATGAAATTTATTGCATTCGATAGCACGGAACATGGAAAGAATACTAATATGGCGGATCACAAAATGGTAGGATACCAATTAAAATGCTTATAAGGCAACGAAGGGATTTAAGTGACTTTTGTAGTCAATTAAAGTACAAGTTTTTAAGCTCTTTTGAGATCTTTGGGAGTTGTTTGTAACTCTCTGTCTCTCTCTAGAACTTTATTAAACCTAGGCGTAAAATAATGTTATTTGTGACAAAATATGCAAACCTTCTTAGTTTTTCTATGTCTTTAACGATGTAAATTAAACAACCGTTATCAAAAATGTTATGGTGTTCGAATACTATATAACAGGTAATTTTGTTTCACTATAATATCCTTTAGAATCAAATAACAGTCATAAAATTTCGCATATGTAACTTTTATTTCAATAGATCGATTGTGTTTGTTTAAAACAGTGAACTATTTTGCTTGTATTATTTATTTTATTTAGGTAATCTTATTAGATTTGATTATATTTAATTAAAAAAATAGTGATTATAAAAAAGAGTATGATATGGTGTTTTAAATGTCGATATTTCTATAAAAACTTATAGGCTAGTTTTTTGAATTCAGGCACAACATTTTTTCTCTGAATTTATATTAAGTTATGACTACTTCCATGGTATGATTTATATATTAGTTTCATAGTATTGCTATTACCGAGAGTTTGGGTTCGAATCCCGGAAGGGTCTATTTACATAGCGATTGTAGATATTTACTTATTAGGGTCATTGTATTATCTTCGTTTATAAATATTTTCATACAGTAGACTTTAGAAATAGGATTGACGACTAATACTTGTTTGTTTGTTTCCATGTTTATGCAGAAATAAATATATTATTATTATTATTGTCCGTCAGGTAGATTAATGAAGAATATTAATACGTATTTTTTATTTTTTTTGCGTAATCATTAAATTACGGCGATACGCCGAGTTGAAATGTCGCATGACGTCCCGCTATGTTAATTTTGTTACAAAACTGTGATGTAGCGAGCCCCCACTCCTTTAAATTTAATGCCTATTATCTGAGGCATTTCTTGTTCAAGTTTAAACAAAAAAGCATACATATCTAATATTTATCTATTATCTTTTACCCAGTCGTCATCCCTATATATAATTTAGTTTTACGTAAATTCATTATTTGTTGGACATGCTTGGTTAAGTTTGCAGTACGGTTCCACCATAAGAAAGAGTCTTTCACTGAGACAGATAAGGACAGAGATTGACGAGTTGCGTGAAATAGAGCGGTAAAAAAACTATTTATAATAATTAATTGGATAATTTTGTTAAATACCGTTTTTACCTGAATGAATAAATAAAAAAACCCTATAGTAGGTATTATTATGAAATAAATTTGAAAGGGGTATAATTAAGAAAACACTAACAGTAAACAGTGAATTTTAGATGTAACTTTATTATTTTTTTCAATCAACAAAATTATTGAACTTTATTTATCATTACACATATTTTCACATTTTATTTTTAGCTACAGCTTATTTGAACTAATATTTTTGTTCAAAATTATTTGATAGATTCAATTGAGTGCTCTCTTTAGTTTAAAATAAGCGTAAACCCCAATGCTTCATAATATTTTTAATAAAGTAATGTATTTTCAAAGTCGTCCTTAATTCAAGCGGCACATACAATCGAGTTATATTTATCCTTATACAAAAAGACAAACATGTCAAGATAGCGACATTGTACTGCGTTATCAACAGACAGGGGCATGTATTAATAAAAAAACAACCATATGCTCTGTGGAGACTATATTAAAAAAGGAATGCCCAGTGGCATTATGTTGATACCGGAGTGGTTCATATTTTGTTATTAATCTAGTAACTATCATTTACTTGTAAACAAAGAAGAGGATAATAATTAAAAGGTAACTTATAAGTTAACTTAAAAGGTAACTTAAAGGAAACTTATCGATTTAGTCTTATAATCACTTTTTATAGTAGCCGATTTCCAGAGTCTTCACTCGTGTAAACTATAGGATATGTCACTCGCTTATGAACTTCCCGTGGGTGAAGGTTTTTAAAATTTCATCAAAATTCGTTCAGTAGTATTTGCGTGAAGAAGTAACGAACATCCAATCTTTCGCCTTTATAATATTAGTAGGTAATATTTATAAAAATTTACAACTTAATAGATTTTGATAGTATTTTACAAAATGTAACATAATTACAGTTTTCTTTCATTTGTGTTACACACTTGTTCATTGTCATTATTTTTTTATAACTGTCACTTTGAAGCTTAATTATTTGTAGATGTTATCAATTTATCAGTGACAGTGACATGCACGAGTATTGGGGGAGAAAAAAAAAGTTAACGTCAAACACCAGTGATAAATATTTGTTCTAATTTGAATACACAGATTTTTTTTTGACTGTTTTCGGAGCTTAATTTCTGACATTTTGTCACATACAAGTATTTGATTGGTTCGCTGTTTTTATTTGTATAATGAAATTTATATTTTCGTTTTGGGATACTTTTTGGAGTGTAGATTAGTATGTAGATTTATTTTTAATTTAATAAATTTCTTTACAATACAATGGATTACCACCAGACATTAGTCTGGCAGAATTTTTGAAAATTTTTATTAATATATTTTATATGATATTTTTTTTTCTTTTGTAACGTACTGATATGTAAATTAAGTTTAAAATTTTGATGCAGCGTTTTACAACGGCTTTATAGTATTTAAAAGTGGTAATAATAATATTATGATTTATTATACACTAACAGACAGATATTACAAAGAATCTAGAAAAGAAAATAGTCAAAAGGCGTTATTGCTACTTAGCAATATCGACGCAAACTAATGAATTTTTTAAAATATCTTCATTAAATAACCGTTTCAGTTAGTGACTTTCAAATCTTTATGCTTAATTATTATATTTCACCAAATGTGAATTCCCAATACTATATTGATATATTTTGTCTCTTCAAGTTTGAAAGTTCTTCCCGCTTCTTGGATTTTCATTGAGATAAAATTTAACGTTGCATGAAATATGAAATGGAATTGATCTATACTGATATATAACTTAAATATGAAATGGATATGATGATGGATTTAGAAGATATACATGGGACCCCTTTAATAAAACAGATCTACCAAAATAGACAATGATTTAATATAATACCCAAGGTTTGATGATAGAACTGGATAGTTACACCATCCGGTGATCATTACATATTTGATATTGACGCAATCCCGTTAAGTTTGAGTTCTTTGATCCTAAAGGAAATCTAATAAACGCTTATTTAAAAAAAAAGTATTAGTTTTTTTTTTCATTATATAATAATTGTTGTTTTCCCATGACTTTTTCCGCGTAAATTATAGTCTCTGTTACCTGCGTATAAAGTAGCTATCGTAAATGAATGAATTTTCATAATTGGATTAATATTTTCGAAGATAACCCTCTACAAACAATTAAAGTTATCTTTACCTCTTTATAATATTAGCTTTTTCTTATCTATAATTTTTTTACATAATTTAGAACTGCCACTCATTTAATTTTAGGCATATATTTACTTTAAAATATAATTATATAACATTTACACGTGAAGTAGAAAGTAAGAGAGAAAATTATTTACTACCCTTACTATCAGTGATGAATGAAAAGATAATTTTTGTATTTCCTACTAATGGCAATAGATAATAATAACATAAAACTGAATCTCAAACTACGAATTAATAATCATGAAATATATCGGCCCTTGCCTTATAAAAATAACAATTGTCTATGACTCAGCATATCGAGCCTTTACCGCCAAATTATCGTAAGCGACACTTTTGTCGAAAATGCTTTTTTCATTGTAAGTTGTATTTGAAACAATAACGGACCTATCCCTGTTGACGTTTTCCGCCAAAATTTAACCGTTATAAAATTATAGCAAGTGCTAAAATTATCGTAAATACATATATTTTTAAAGCCATAACGTAAGTAACAACAAGCATTTTTATCGTAAGTGCCTTGCGATCAATTTTTTGTAGCGCAAGTGACACTACTTGTTATCGCAACCGACGTAGGTGATAGACTATGAGGCGTTTACTATAAACAAACCTGTCGTGGCCTGTTTATATCCGAAAGTAATTATGATACGACAAACACCGTTCTCGTTGAATTGTATCTAAAAAAACAGTTTCAGCCATAATAACATTTTAAATTGTATTAGTTTTTATTTCCTTATTGTGTTTTAAATATAGTACAGATAGCTCGAAAACATCAAATAAAACAGCAATGTCAAATCCTGCAGTTAAGGTATGTATTGTGTTTTAGTTTTGGTAATTGAATTGGGGAAAACTTAAATACTAGAACGATTTTGTTCCATGTACTATTCTTCCATTTAACCATTAGAATACTACATTACACCTGGGTTCATCAGGGATAATATGGATACTTTTTATACGATATTGCCATGAAAAATGTTTATTAATCAAGGCAAGGCCAGGGTTCACCATTGGTATAAAATAAGCAGCCATAGTAGGTCACTGCCTACGTTAGTCGTTCATTAATTATTTATTTATTATTCTGTGATTCTTTTTAATTTTTTTTTTGTTTTCTATAGTCACAAATGAAGAAAATTATGCAGTTAATATCACCACTTCCCATATCAGAAGAGAGTAATTCTGGAACTGCTTTTTCCGAGAACATACAGCAAGATACAGAGGCCCCAGCTTTAGATCAAATCTCACTAACAGACAGCTACAGCGATATTGACATGGACCCAATAACGACATCACCTTCGTTGATCGATTATATTTGTGATACCGATTTAAATTCTGAACTCAATACTAACTCATCATTAACACCATTACCTCAAATTAAACTTGTCGAATACAGTGATTCAGACACTGAGAATACTTACATTTTACTGGATTTAGATAACCAGAACATAAGGGACTTAACAACTTATGATTCTACTTTGCCAGCTTTCATTAATCAATTGATACAGCCGAGCACCAGTTCACTTTTGGTCAACAACCAGAACAAAATATGTCCAAGAATTTGGAGACCCACGACAGCATTGCCTGTATTGATAGCGAAGATTCATGGAAGCCTGCCTCATCGTCCAGTGATTCGGATGACGATAAGTCCGTTCAAACAATAGAAGAAGAAACAAGTGTTGGTAAAAAAGGATATAGGAAAATAAAACCTTTACCAAAACGACTTTTAGCAAAAAAAATTGTAACTGCTGTAGGGAAATCTATGCAACCAAACCCTTGTATGAATAAAAAATGTGGTAACTCATGTGCAAATAAATTTACAGAAGATGATCGCAATAATGTTTTTGAAAACTATTGGGGATTAGGTTGTGATAAAAGACAAAAAGATTACCTGCTGTCATGTGCTAAAGAAAAACCGATTGGAAGAAAAAGATCCAGTAGTAATATCCGTAAAATATCATACGATTATTTTATCAGCTACAATGGACAGAATGACAGAAATATATCGTTTTTGTATTTACAGTATCTTAATTACGTAAGAGAAAATAATCCAGAATCATCAGTATTATTAAAAAGAGAATTTCGTGACATTTTTAAAAAGGATTTTAATATCGAATTCCATCTGCCAAAAAAAGATAAATGTGCTTTTTGTGAGAAGTGCAAAAATTTATCACCTGAGAATAAAATTATTTTTGAACAAACCCCTGAATATAAAAATCACATTCTAGATAAAGAAAAATGTAAGCAACTGTTTTTAGAAGACCAAAAAATGAGCAAATTAACTGATTCTAACTCCTTGTACGTAAGTTTTGATTTAGAAGAAGTTCTGAAAGTCCTTTTTAATTACTTGATTATAGTAGACCAAAGAGGTACCCATACAGAGATAAATTTATACTCCGATAGCTGTGCCGGGTAAAATAGGAATCGCGCAATGATCCATGTTAATTCATTTCTTGAAAAACGCAATTACTATTACACGAATAAAGGTAACTTATCTTTTACCGGGACACACCATGATGCCTGTTGATTCTATTGAAAATTTTGTGCGTAATAAAACAGTATGGGCTCCTGATTACTAATGCTAGAAACTACATTTTAAATGTCTTAAACTACGGAGACTTCATGGATTGGAAGAATTTTTCGCAAGCTTTATTACCGGCTAAATTTAAAATTAATTTTAGTTCATTAAGGGCGGTGCAATTTCATAAAAATAATGCTATTATTAAATTTCAATACGGTTTTTTCGAACATAGTGACAATTACGAAATAAACATGGATTTCATCATCAGATCAAGAGCAAACAAAGCTATTGTCGAAAAGGGGCCTACACCTTTATACGTCAAAGAGCTCAAACTTTCATTAGCTAAATACCAAGATTTACAGGATCTGTGTAACAAAAACGTGATTCCAAACAGATACCATCAAGAATATTTAAGTATGAAGCATGATGGAAACGTACGTGATGCTTTAGCTGAAACAGATGATGATGAGGAGATTTAAAAATATTTAATTTAATATTAATACAATATCTCACTATTCCAAATAATTTATATAATTATTTAATTAATGTTTGACACAGTGAAAAATATCATATCAAATAAAAAAAAATATCATTTATACGAGAAGAAAATGATTTCTTTTTAAATTACTAGTTTAAGTTTATAAATTATGATGATTGATCTAATTACTCCAATTGTTTAATACAAATAAATTTTCATTTTCAATATTTTATAACTATTTCAATTAAACGCCTTTTAAAATATCTATTTATTTATCAAAATGTAATATTAATACAATAAACTGTATTAGTAATATTAATGGATAATTTTATCGTAAATGTCAAAACAACCTTAGATTATGACAGCAAAAATAAATTAAGCGACATAAATTGTTTAAATACTAAATATTTTTGTATATTTTTCCATTATATATGTTAAGGTCTAAAAATAATTAATGTATGTAAAATTTTAATTTACTAGCACATTTCTTTTAAAAAATATTTAAAAAAAACCTTCTCCTGTAAAGTTTGTTTTTTGTCGGTTGCGCTAAAATGGCGGTAAAGGCTCGATATTAAACAAATTAAAAATCTGTCGAAATATTTTGGGTAATCTATAAATCAATGTGAGCATGCATGTTACATGTGCACATGGTTTGAACGATAACAAATTGAATGTATATTAATTTTAAATGAGATCACAACTTACTTTTTGTTTGTTGTTTTGTAAGAATATTGAAGTTAAAAACTTATAGAGAATTATATTTCGAGTTTCTAAGTTGAAAGTTAATTATATATACAAAACTTTTTTGTAATAACCTACTTTTGAAATCGTAGGGCACTACACCTTATGATGTGTTATAACTAGCAACCCTAAAGCGCCTAGTGTGACACATATGGTACATACAAAATTATTGCCTATATTTCGTAACACAATGCTATTTCACGTCATGTATTAGTGTTACAACATTTAAATTGAAATATATCATAATAAATATTACTGGTTTTTCATCCTCATTAAGAGTATGTTAAAAACTGCACATAAACTTTATACGTTCCAAACCTATTTTGGTGACATATCTAGTACATACCGAAATACAAAAAAAACGAAAATAGTATATTTTATTATTTTTCGATAAACACAGGTGACATTTAGAAGTTCATATTATTTTTCTGTTCAATTTAGAAAAATCATGCACTGTAAGGTTAAATCTTTTAAACTACATTAATAGAAAATGAAGATGACTGTCTATCTTTTAGATATGGAACACTAATATATTAATACAATATGCCGCTCGTGGTTTTATCTGTGTATTGATCTAAACGCGGCCGAGACGGACAAATGTATGCATTCGAACGGAGGCATTTCTTTTATTATTATTATTCTTTCAAAGACTTTATTAAATGTGTCCGGTGTAATCTGTGAGTAGGCGTCAATAATGACGTTTTTTTACAATGGTTTTATTATGAGAAATCTTTGAATACCGATCTGCGATTAGAGTTGGTCTAAAGTGCAATGATTTTCAATGTCTTGTCCTACTAATATTATATAGGTAAATGCGAAAGTTTGTGAGGATGGATGTGTTTTCCTATAAAAAAAAAAAAATACTGGACGGATTTTGATGAAATTGGTATACAGATACTTTTGAGCGTCGGTTAACTATAGGCTACTTTTTATCTCACTAAACAATTCCCTAGAGACCATGCGGGCAAAGCCACTGGCGAAAGCTAATTTCTCATATTTTTATGCTACTACTCCAGTACTGTCTGGACGTCCTAACACGGAACTTGGAAAGAATCCTTCAAAAGCTCAAGAAACTAAATAAATAAATAGTTCAAGAAGTTTCTAATGAAGTCGGGGTTGTGTGTATTTTGAATAATGGAATTGAATTGAATTATTTTTCACTTATGAAGTTTTTTGAAGTCAACTTTTTTTTCATTACATTCTTATTTGCTTATTTGTGATTTAGTATGCGAAGACGTTTATGACATAGATTTATGAAATTTGACACACGTGCTTAGAAAGTCACAAAGAATGAAACGATATCTAATAAAAGCTTGTTTAAAAAAATATATTTTTATTAGTCTTCTTTTTCATTATATAATAATTATTGTTTTTCCATGACTTTGTTCGCATAAATTATAGTCTCTGTTACCTGCGTATAAAGTAGCTATCGTAAATGAAAAAAAAAATCATAATTGGATCAATATTTTCGAAGATAACCCTCTACAAATAATTAAAGTTATCTTTACCTATTTATAATATTAGCTTTGTCTTATCTATACATTTTTTACATAATTTAGAACTGCCACACATTTGATTTTAGGGATATATTTACTTTAAAATATAATTATATAACATTTACACGTGAAGTAGAAAGTACGGGAGAAAATTATTTACTACCCCTTACTGTTAGTGATCGATGAAAAGATATTTGAAAACACGTGCTTAGGAAGTCACAAAGACTGATGACTGATATATTTGAACAATTCTAATAATACTACGATTCTAATGGATACCTTTTTTGGAATCGCTTTAAAACAGCTGTTTTTATGAGGCAATACCACCTCGGAAGATCTAAACTTTTAAAAAGTGGAATACTAATTACTAGTTGATTGGTCTTGTAGGATAGGAAGGTAGTGAGGTTCTAGTTGGTGGAGGCAACTTTTAGAATTACTAAAGGGAAATTGTTGGAAGTTGTACATATGTTAAGTCGCAAAGAAACTTAGTTAGCGCGATCTATGTTTCGCGGCGCCATCTCGTGGCTATGTGAGTTGAAGATTTCGTTTTGTCGTTGATTTTTATGGCGATGTTGGCGTAATGAGATAGACATCACCACAGTCAGTGTTTTAGTTATTAAAACTACAGTCCTATTCTTACAGGTCAGACGACTGCAGGACTGTGACTGGGAAGTATTACAGATAACCTTTATTATTTTAAATGGTACACGTGAACCTTTGTCTAAATTTGAAAGGCAATGTAATAAATATTTAAGTAAATTGCTGTGATCATAACCATTTTAAAACATAACTCTGAAACCATTGGATTACATAGCGCAACACGATAGACGTATCTGGGTTAAAAGCAATTTGTGTAGTGCAGGCAAAAATATACTGACATGGAAAAGGTTGTCTTCAATTAATTTAAATTGACTTTTATCAGAATAAGCGAAGAGAGATTTGGTAAATATTAAAAACTTTTAAACACTTAGTGCTTGAATAGATAGGTAGCTATTTGATCGAGTAATATTTTCAAAATATTTTACGTTTAAATAATAATTAATTGTATAGATCGAGGTTATGCGCTGTGAGTTGTCTATAGAGTCGTGTAAAATTGGCAAAATCAAATAAAAAAAACTCTCTTTTTATTTATATGTTTTTTTTGTTGTTTTAACACGTGGTCTTTGAGTCACGACCTTGTTGTGGGACCATATAGTACATTCATAATAAACATAAAAATATTAATGAAATACCAAAAACTCCGACAGAACAAGACCTCTACCAAAATATTTTTTTAAATATTTCTTCAGCTCTATCATAATTTGGACCAGAAGAAGAAATCACACAATCCAATTTAATATCGTTCTTCCGATTTTAATATACTATGTTTTTATATCATGTTCGGATTTATGGTTCTGTGTTATTTTATTAATTTAAATAGAAATAACATAGTTTAATTTACTCGCTAGACTTATTGACATAAAAACGATGAATAATGACGGTTTATACCTCAGGTCAAAGAAATGTTCGATTAAGACTATTCAAAAGCATGTTTGTGTAGGATCGTGTTCGTAAGTCCAAGTATCAACGGAACCATTTTTGAGTTTACGTTCCATTTAATTTAGTAAGTAAAGAAAGAAGATTCGTTTAGTAAATGATCCATTTTATTTACTCATTTATTCATGAATACAATATTTATCAATAGATATTTAATCTTCGATTGGACTGTCTTTGTCTTTGGATGTTTTTGATTCATTAGAAGGTTTGGCTTCTATTCCATGATAAATAAAGTTTACTTAACATAAAAGAAATACACTTTCTCATTACTTATTGTTACTAAAACTAATATGATATGTTAAAAAAAATCGGTCAGTCAATTCATAAAGACAATCAAATTCATCCTTTAGCTCAAAATCGAGCACCACGCATCAAAGAACATCCATCGAATACTGTGTCTGGGAGAAGTGAACCTGCGACACTGAGATGCGTGGTTGAAGGGCGGCCAAAACCAACCGTGCTGTGGTTTAAGGACGGCTCACCTTTGCCACCTGCGGAGGATGGACATAGGGTATTGTTGGAAGACGGGTTACTGTTTCTAAGGTAAGAAAAACTGCTGAAAGTTTTTTTTTTCTTATAAAAGGCTATCTCTTGCAATAAAGGTGATGATGATTATAATATTAAAGCTACTGAGTGTAATTTTAATGGTTGACAAGATTCAGAATATACTCTTATAATTCAGTGTTTATAATTTTAATAAATATTGTGAGTTACAAGTTGCATGGATAAATTTCCAAAGATTAAATAAAATCAGAAAATATCTAAATCGATAGTTATATTTAGCTCACCCCGCCCTCACCTGTGCTTTATGTCACCATGAAAAGTCGGATAGGAATAACGTTATCGGTCCCGCATCAATAAATTTATATTTTGAGTGAAACCTATGTTTTATTTCCGTACCATCAACTGTAGAATAACTAAAATTAATTTTTCTTCATTTTAAATACAAGCGATGTGTTACAATTTGCTTAATAAATTATGAGAACATCTTTGGATGAAACAAGGCACTATATGAATAGATTGCCCAAAAAAGCATAAGTGGAATTTCAATCATAATCTACAATGTATGGCTTAGTCGGTTCGTTAAAAACAAACCTATACAAGACTATTTTTAGCGAACAAGTAGTATTCTTATACCGTTATTTCGAAGAATCGTCATCACCGAGTATAGTCCATGACGTCACGTAGTATTTTTTATGTGTAACGGTTAAACGTTTAATGTATTAGTATGAATTTCATATACCAGTTTAGCACGTAGAATGTCTAGTCATTAATTTTAGAAAACGCCTATTAAAATGATATTCAGCACAATCCAGTTAACCAGAATCAAAATGGAGATTCAGTTAAACAAAAGGAACCCATTTTATTTCGTTAAATTGTTTCCTCTCGGGTCAACGGTTCTGTTATTTGCGCAGGGTAAATCGCGGTAAAAAGGAAAGCGATGAAGGAGTATACTGGTGTTTGGCACGCAACATTGCTGGAGAGGCTGTCAGTAACAACGCTTCTCTAAATGTTGCTAGTAAGTACAATCCCATCAAAAACATAACATGTACACATAAATGCAAAAGACTCGCAACGCAATAGGGGTGTAAACGACTATTTTATTTTATAGATATACATGAAATATTACTAAAATAAAAAATTAATACTTTTTTAATTCGTTTTTAAGCTTAAATACTAAAAATTAATTTAGTTTTCAAAATTTCCCGCAAAAACGACAACTTCTGTCATGGTGTCGCTTTAACGTCACGGCCCTCTGAAACTAATATCGTTTTATTATGCATAAGGTTTAATTCTCTAAGTTCTATATGTGTAAGAGTGGCGTGACGCCACGCGATGTTTGCGGTCACATGACAAAGAGCATAAAAATAGACAAATTTTTATGCTCATGTCTTTACATAATTAATTGAAGCAATATTATAAATATAATAAGTATAAAAGTGTGATAATACCAGAAAAAAAAGTATTTATTTTCGTTTACTGTCTACACCCGCATTCTTCTTCCGTAAAAAGTGATATCAACGTAAATCAAGTTGAATAATTCAGATCCTATCTTTTTATGAGAGCAGCTATCCATTAAAGGATACTAAACAACTTTTACTAAACTTTTAAACCAATAAAGCACAGAGCCAATAATTTTCAATAGGTTTTTTATGTAAGATTATTTTACTATACCTATGCGTTAGCCAAATTTAGCCTTGTAGTTATTTCCACGACGAAAAATGGTCAAAATGGCTTCGAGGAAGGGTACGGCCGTGCCCTTTCTACTTTTTGCTGGACTTGGCGGGAGCACTTCCGTGCTCTCATGCGATGCGATGTTACAATTCTACCTAATTTTGAAATATAGTCGATTAGTTTAAATATGCAGAAAAAACATTTTAATTATATTGTATTGCCTTGCAGTGCTACGTGATGACTTCAGGATTGAACCTACAGATGTGGTTGTAGCAGCAGGAGAACCTGCTGTATTAGAATGTTCACCACCTCGTGGGGTCCCCGAACCTTCTGTTCATTGGCTTAAAGATGGACAGCCATATGATGTAGAAGTTAATGGCAGGTAATAGAGACTCTTAACACAAAAGTTTGTTAAAAATAATTATTTTATTTAAAATTTTTGATTCTTTTTAGGGTGACAGTTACAGATACAGGAAACTTGAAAATTCTCGAAACATTACCTACTGATAGTGGTTTATTTCGTTGTGTCGCATCAAATATAGCTGGTGAAAGGCAGTCAAGAGCTGCGGGTCTTATTATTTTAAGACGTCCACATTTCGTCGTTAAGCCTAGTAATATAACAGCTCTGGTTGGCCAAACCGTTGAATTTAATTGCCAGGTATTTATTATGCGGTCTTGAATCAAAGAGTAGAGTATAAATACTTTAACGAGCATCGGTCTTATCCGTGTATGTTTTATTTTAGAGCTACGATACAAATGTAAAAATAACTTGGGTCAAAGAGGATAGTTCGCTGCCTTCACATGCAACTATCATTCGAGGATTATTGCGGTTGGAACACGTGTCTGCAGCCGACGCTGGCATTTATTCATGTCGGGCTGATGGTCAGACTGGTTCGAGTATAACAAGCGCCACTCTCACCGTTTACTGTAAGTTCGGCTCTGTTTTGGAGAATTTTATTACGTTCGTAATATTTACGTTTGTTATAAATACGGCCATCTGTTTTAGCTTTACCGCACTTCACACAGATACCATCAAATTTGACCGCATGGGAGGGTGATGTGGTATCGATTCCTTGTGAAGCAAAAGGTCTGCCCACACCAACCACGTTTTGGATTCTAGAAGGGAATCAAGATTCGTTACTTTTCCCTGAATGTATGAAAAGCAATACGAGTTTATTATATCTTGATGGCGCAAAAACTGAACACAGTGGGCGTGTTATATGTACAGCAGTTAATGCAGCTGGTAGTATAATGCAAGAGGCATATTTAACTATTCTTAAGAAGGGGAATGAATTAAAAGAACCCTCTTTGGATCAAGACTTGACTGTGTTATATGAGCGGCAAGAACATATGACGCAATATGAACTTGTTCAAGCGCGAAAGTATTTGCAGCAGAATGTTTTAGTTATGCGGAGGGTGGAAGCGTTGTCATCTACGTCGATGAAAGTTGTTTGGGATGTTCGTATATTTATTTGCCATTAGATGATAATCACAATTTATGTAAGATGAAGTAATATTTTTTTTTTCATAACACATTTTAGGTTTTGACAGATTACAATGAATATTTGGAAGGTGTCAAAATATGGTATAATGGAACAAACATGAATTGGCGATTTGCTGTTAAAGAAGAAAATGCTGTTTTGAACTCATCCTTGACTGGCGCTGCGTTGTGTTCTAATGGTTCATTAACCAATGTCGATAATACTGGTTCATCAAGTTTCGTTCTATCTGGGTTAATGGCTTATACACAGTACGATGTTTTCTTGATGCCTTTTTATAAAACGTTACTTGGAAAGCCTTCTAATTTGATGGCGGGCTTTACGGATGAGGATGGTAAGACATTATTGATAAATTAATTATAATTACTTAGTTTTAGGTAGGGTAATTAAATCGTTTTACAATGGATGTTTATTTTAGTACCATCGGCGCCGCCTCAGAGTGTGACAGCGGGTGTAATTAACGCAACTTCGGCGTGGATACGATGGGAACCACCACCTGCGATTACTTGGAATGGAGAAATCACAGGCTATTTGGTGTGTGTTTCTATTTTCATATTTATGATATTACAATTAAGAGTGAAGCGTGTGGTTGGGAACTGTTATTTCAATTATTGAGCTTTAATAGGTTATTGCTTTAACAAAGGATGAGTTATTAAAACTTAAATATTATATAACAGACAAAAGTTACACAATTAAATTAGAGTTTTCGCTATTTACGACTATCTTTATCTTATAATAGGTTATACCAAAATGTTTTTGTTAATAAATTGTTCTTATAATCAGTTACTTAAGAGTAATTATACAAATTGGAACTACTTAGTATAATGTCAATATATATATTAATATATATTGACATTATACTAAGTATAATAAAACTACAAAACCAGGTTTGATATAGATGGATCATACCCGTGCTAAGAATAACTTAAATGTTAAAGTGTTGTAAATGCCACGTTGATGGCAATTGGCCAATCTTTGTATAGACATGACTCCTGATAGTTTTTTGTTGTCTGACAAACAAAAGAAGTAATCAAAGTATTTATGACTAATATCTTTAGTTATAGTTCGCATAAATAAAATTTTATTAAATAAATATTCAATTCGTTAAAATATGTTATATGTTTTGGGAAAACAGCAAGATTTACTTTATCCTTTCTTATTTTAGATTGAAATTCGTGTTAGTGGAAGTGGTGGTGGTCGTATTGTTGGTCAAATGTCTCTAGGACCTCGAACTCGGGCCGCTGCGGCTAGTTCCCTTCGCGCTGGCGGTCGATATAGTGCAAGAGCAGCTGCCGTTACTAAGCGTGGACGTGGACCTTTTAGTTTGCCTGTCCAGATACATATGTTGCCAACGCAATCGCAACGTCACTATGTTCAGTAAGTGTGTTCTATAAAATTTTTAAATATACTCTCTATTTTTTAAAGTCCGGTTGCGAATAATTCAAATCATTTCTTGCAGTCGACTGCCCAATAGAAACATAAGAAAACAATTAAAACATATTTTGGTTTTACTTTCCCCACAGGCTCCTTTATAGTAGGTCTTCTTAGGCGACAAAATTTTAGATGTTGTATTCTAAATTTCTCTATTTTCAAAGGACTGCAATTGCCAAATACTTATTAACAGGATATTTTCAGAACGGAACCACCTAGCGATTCTAACATATCACACATATTTCAAGAAACATGGCTCCTTGCTCTTGGTCTGACATTATTCACTGTAATTATTATTGGATTATTCAGCGTTTATTATATTAAGCGTCGTAACAGCACTCAACGAAAGAAGTCTACTGGTGAGTGGTGCTTTATTTATTTTTAATAAAATTAGCTCTTAAAACTTATGTATATACAATTTTAATTTTTTCTTTCCCCTCTTTTTTATAATGTCAATATGACTGATTATATAAACTTTCAGCTTATTTACTGACTATTTTATTTTAATCTTCGTGTTTTACGTTAGAAAGCACAATAATTCTATTAAATTTTAGTCAAAAGAATGTCGAAAGTGAAGTTTTTAAACGTTTTGCAGGTCAGTCCATTGTTACAGCACAACAGTGTTTACTCAATAAAGACACAATATGGTTACGAGACAGGCCTGTATTTGCTGCTACTGAGACCACTATGGACGCCAGTAGCTGTCATCAGAGCTTACTACATGGTTTGTTATAATCGAATCATGATTTTGATTTATATGAAAGATAATGATAAATTTAGTTGAGATATTTTAATTAATTTTTAAAGTTACGTTTTCATATAACGTTTTTAGGTGGACAGTCTACGAGTATTTTAAGTGTGGAACCTGAATATTGCTTACCTCAAAATTCTATTCAAGGATTAGATGATTTAAGCGTTGATAGAATCAGACGAGGCCCCCCTGAACCCTACGCATCCAGTGCTATTTACACTGAACTAAACTTTAAGGTACGTCTACTAAAGTTAGTGGATATTTCTGAAAAGTAAAGCTTAACTATTAAATGTTAATAGAGAATAAAATATGATTTTTAGCTAGATTATCACAACTAATTTGCAGCTATTTACTTTTCGCAATTACTTTTACAATATATACATTCAGTTTAAATGTAAATTCAAATATATTTGATATTGATTTATATCAAATAATATGTACGTTCAAATAGTCTGATAAGCAAGTTATGAGAACTTACTGGCAGTAGATAAGATTGCTTGAAAGATTTGCGTAACTTACGCTATTGAGTTATAGGTCATTTAACTTTCAATATCACTAACAATAGGTTTAACGTTTCGTTTAGGACAACAACGAAATTGGAGACATAAGGAGCTGCGTGGAGCGGCGATCACATAACAATAGCATTGTTCGTTCATGTAACGGAAGCATTCAGTATTCGAACGGGGAATGTTCCACATGTTGTCATAGCACATCAAGTAGATCTACTAAGGATTATAGAGAGCCTAGACATGAAGTACATAATGAAATCAATGCTATGGAAGACGACTGTATGTCCTGTCACACGAATAGGTCTGGATCGAGAAGTAGACAGGACAAAAGTAAAGTGTGTCCCGCCAATGATTTAGAGTATGATTATCCGCAGTGGCATTGGCTAGGTAGAGAGAACAGTTTCAAAATTCCCATACAGACTAGCAGACATTCGAATGTAGCGCGGTCCGAGCAGGGCTGTCAAATAAATCTATGTGATATATTGCCACCGCCCCCGTATGAGGTAAATTGAAGTGGCTTTAAAAATCACACTGACCGTATACGTCCGAAGTGATACTTTTAAAATGTAATCCGAAATTGCTTTTTGCAGAGTCCGGAAAACAAGAAAAATTGAGAAGCTCAAAGCGCTTAGGTAACTTTTTTGTATAAATTGAAAAACGTTGAGCAATAATCAAGTTAGCGACAAAACATATGTAACTCGAATTCCTTTTGGCGTTGATTTCGATGTAGTTTAAAATGTTATTCGAATTTTAAATGTAGTGAGTACATGTAATAAATCTCAGGTAATCGTCGTAGAATGCTGGTTAGCGCTTGTAAAACGTAAGTAATTAGTACTGAACTTTTGATATTTGTAACTTATTCCTATTGATATTCTAGTCACGATGTATAAGACTAGTTGAAACTTTATGATGAACATTGTACACCGTCGTGGTTTCATTTATTTTGCTGTAAATATGATGGCACTAGTGATCCGAAAAGATAATTTTGTTGAATATAAGAAATACTAAATAATTTAAAATATCATCATCAACAAATTTCATCATCATCATCAGCCCTATTTCACCCCACTGCATGGGGCTCAAGTCTTCCTTATGGAAGGTTAAGGAGGATGGGCCATGATTCTCCACGCTGGTCCAATGTGGATTGGATGGTATTGACTATTGACAACGTATTCCGGACCAACTGCGTGCTTTCCGAAGCACGGAGTAGTTATAGATAATAATTTTGTGGTCACCCATCCCATAACCGACCTTAGGGAAAGTTCACCAGCCCTTTTACGTCCCCACTGCAGGGGCTCAGGCCTTCCTTATGGATGGTTAAGGAGGATGGGCTATGACCCTCCACGCTGGGCCAATGCGGATTGGAGGGTATTAACGACTGCAAATGCAGCCGGGACCAACGGCTTAACGTGCCTACCAAAGCACGGAGTAGCTCGAGATAATAATTTTTGGTCACCCATCCCGTGACCGACCCTTGCGAAAGTTGCTTAATAACAAACACCGCGGGCCGCGGCGTTAATCCACTACGCCATATAGCTTCTTAGCTACTAAAACTAAATCTGTAGTGTCAAAATTAATAATAAAAATAAAACTTTTTAAATTGAACACTAGTGTCATCTGTGTCAATCAAAATAAAAGAAATTGAGATATTATTTTAACAAATTGTGTATACTCAAGGTTGTCCTCTTGATCTTAACGTAGATTTTAACAGCTCCGCATTTCACTGCCATACTATGATATGTTTAGAATTACACATATAAATTAGATGTATAATCTTTGACTGTGATATTTATATTAAATTTGTGTATTAGGAATAAATTTAAACTTAGTTTTAATTATTATTATTTCAAAGAATAATTCCAGATGACGCGGAAACATTAAAATTTTGTTATATTTCGGGTAAGTTTTGTATTAACAAAAGTATATTTTTAAAACAACAAATTCTAATTTATGTATTTTATTAAAATGAATATATTTTAATGATAATCTTTAAAATTTATGGAAACTATCTTTGACATAATAGAAATTGCAATGTTTCTTCAATTTTTTACGTTCTTTTTGAAAATCATTTGTAATAAACCTATTTTGATTTTTTTATCCATATTGTGTTATAACTTCAAAATCGGAATATAGCAAATTTACAACAACATTTATTTTTTATTTTTGATTCAAGAATACCCCTTTTCACAATATTTTAAAAAATACCTAGATTTCTCGAATTATACAAGTCTTGTATTTCATGTTGGTTAACTATGATTACTGAGAAGTTTTATGTTGTAAACCAGTTTTCCACGAAATAAAAAAATAAATAAAACTAAGCGAACAACTTGAATATAATTAGAATTAATCAATATAGCCATAGTTATCAAGTTACAAACATGAATTCTTCCTTATTACATGAGAAACGGGGTCCTGATATCTCCTCATCAATAGAGTAACTGCATATAACATATAGAGCTAAGAGGTACTACATCTTAGCTCTATATGTTACTTACTTCTATAACTATAAATTCTTAAATTGACTCAGTGGTAATCCATTAATCTAAGTAGATTTCCCTGAAATTTTTTTTTTTTAATATAAGTACTATCCAACTCTGATTTAAGAAGTTAGTAATACTTTGCGATATTATGATCTGATATGATATATGTTGTAAAACAGAACTGTATTACGAGTGTGTTGCAAAAAACCAGGCTGAATAATAACAACAGCAAAAAACCTTTTTAATTATTAATAACGTATTTTAGTACTATCAATATGCAATAAATCGGTTTAATAGAACATTGCAATAATTAACGCAATAAAGAAAATAATATTATCTTCGCAGGTGATTTTAAAATTAACACTTACTTTGTTAACCTATATCAAAGTGGCGTAACATGAGAAGACTATCAACTTGAAGTTAACAACATTAATAATGGCCCCAATCACATTTTAGTGAAGCTTGTTAAGCATGTTACGCGACTGCTTGGGCCTCGCAAACTTATAGCGTAATTAAAATTATAAAAGGCGACATAAATAATAGTGTACTAGGTAACGAAGCACGTCATTATATTGCGTCATTACTTGGGACTTACAACGCTTTGTGCTGTCGTTAACTCAATAAGCTGCAGTTAACCGATACCGCTCGCTACAAAAGGCTTTATTGCGTTAAATACAACCCCATATATACGGCAGTAGGTTGATTCGGTAACTTGTTCTAGCAATGAACTACTTAATCGTTGTCGAATTGATCGATGGTCTTAATGGATGATTAATGTTTTACTTACTATCTAAAAAAGAGAAAGACAATTTGATCTTAATTGGTTTTTAGGCCCATCCGTTTAAGAAAACTATAAAGATTATTTTAAATTAAATTATCACAGAGTAGAGTAATAAAAATTCTTTCACGGAAATAAAACTATTCATCAACGTAATCTACTGCGAGATTTGGGAGAACGAAATGAAAAGTCCTATTTTTCTTTGGTATTCTACGGGTTAAGAGCATTTGGCAATAAATCGTGAAGCCCAATTTATTCCTGTCTTGCTTACGTATCGGTCACATTTATAGCCACCTTTTCTGTACGAAATGAGATTTCCTTTATCAGCAAGTTTTGGAACAAAGAGCCATTTGATTCAAATTACCTCAGAGGCCATTTGCGGAAAATTCTATTCAAGCTATGGATGATTCTTCTAATTATAATGATTTTAGATAGTTTTATGCCGCTGATAAGTAACCAGGAATTGTATATTCATTTAATGTTTTAGTAAGGATATCTACTGTTAACTTACCTCATTACCATTTTGTGACTAAATGAATATTATAGTATCAAAATTATTGCAAATAAAAATAAGATAATTAAACCTTATTTTGGGTAGACTTTAATCTAAAAGATTATAGACTTTTGTCAAAAAAATATGTATGTGAAAGGATAGAGTGACTACACGATGGATGTAACTGAAATTAGGCATACTCATGATTAATACGACGTACAGGTTCCCTAATAAAGTTCATTGTTTAATTCTACCCCTAAGAAGTAAAGTAGGGATTTGAAAAACATGTGACCTACGCGACATAAGCTGCGGATGGAAATCTAATTACTATTAAAATTTAACAACTTTCAATTTTTATATATTCTTTTTACAGTATAATGACATCAATAAATTAGTGTTTGTCACTGTAATCTGGCTTGAATTATTTTACTATAACCATGATTAATTATGTGACTAAGTAAATTAGTCCAAGAAACGTCTTGTTTGGTTTCACTGTTTTCTAGCGTGAAACTCTTCCTAAACGTTAAGTAATTTGCATGTCTGTTAATTTATCAAAGGAATAATTTTTCAAAATGTATATGACACGAAGGGGCATTAATTAAAATATTTGGTACCAAGTAAACAGCGCAATGAAATAACAATTTCCAGTGTTGGCACCGGTCCAATTCATTATGAGATTCCTTACGCTTCAACACTTTAATAAACAGCCTACCTTTTTAGCCGTATCACTGAACATAAATGCAATTATGTCCCAAATTTTTTTTTATCGTATCGTATATTTTTTACTTTTCAAGTTTACTTAAAGTTTATATCATAGTTTTACTAAACATTTTTTTGCTGTACAATATATGTAAAAATTAATGTTTACATAACAAAATTCACAGAAAAATAAAATACTTTTAATGCGAAAATTATTATTTTCAGTTAAATTAAAAAACAAAACCAGTGAACCGGTTTTTGATATTTTTTATGTTTTGACAATCGGTGTACATTTCGCGGAGAATTTTGTTGAGAGACAGACAGATTTTTTAATGATTGGCTGCATCCACACTGCATCATCGTTGGATCGCTTGAATCCAACTATTCCAAACTATGCTCAACATGTTGATGTGGACATTCCAAGGTGCAAACTTATAATGATGTATTATAACTTATAATGATGTAAATGTATGACGGATCGTAGGTACTTGGTTTCATTTTGAGTCACTAGAACGTTGATCGCCGATCTAACATCTTCCATTATCCCGTTCGCCTTAATACTAATATTATAAACAGGGAAGATTTCGTTATCTGTCTGCATTTTATAGACTCCGAAACTACTACAATGATTACTAAAATTCTTGCACCTACGAGTAGCATTATACGAACATAGGCTATGATTTTCTTCGGCGAAGTCGTGGGGAAATCAATAGTTGGCAAATAAAAAGAATGAAGAAACGAATACCACCACAGCTTTAAAATGGAAAAGGAGCATACGTTCTACAAAGTAATACGATCAACCATCCCCCCAAAATAAATATTACAATGAGAATACCAAATACACATGCATTTATGAGAAAGAAGTGACTGTTGTTTTATGATACCCTTTTATTATGGTGAGGCGTGTGGCAACGTCTTAAGAGTAATAAAACGGTCATAATTTTTATGTTTCATCGAAAAACAAAGTGTAAGTGTCATTTCTGGAGAACGATATGTACACTTAAAGGTTGTGTTAGTGTAGAAAATAGTAATCTCGAAACGTTTAAGTAACAGTTTAATTTTAAAGCTGATTTACTTATTTAGTTTAAAAATCAACTTTAAAAATCTTACATATTTTATTTACAGCATATATTTTCCAAAAACGCTGTTGTTTTTTGAGCTGATGATGAAATTACCTTGATGTTTAAGTTGGAAGATATGTATATATCCTTTTAAGTGCTAGTTTTCGGGATAAAATGATCTAACCTATTACCTTCCTAGGGTCATAAACTACCCAAATACTAATTTACATCGGGTATAGGTCCAAAAACAAAGAAGTTTCATATAAACTTGAGCTTTCTTGACCCCCTTTGGGATGGAATTTCTAAAAATCCGTTCTTAGTACACCTCTACGTATTAGAGGTGTACTCTTCAAATTTCTACGACCAGCGGTTTAGGCTGTGCGTTGTCTGTCAGTCAGTAAGTCAGGACATCTCCTTTTATATATGTATAGATAAGCCATGAATAATCGGAAGTAAATATACTTAAATACTGACTTTCTTCCAATGTAAATGTACTTAGAAAGTTAAGGGCAAATATTAATCTGTTATTATAATTTATGATAATAAACGGCTACCGGTCTACTTCCATGGGAAGGCATTTATCAAGGGATGTTGATCGTAAATAAGCCCAAATGCAAATCGGTGATATTTCTTGTTACCACTTACGTACAGACCTACATTTCATTTAAATATTATTAAATTCGAACCGTATGCTGGGCGCATAAATGTTGACTCTCGCGTAATGATGAATGTTTATGTGATGAGATTCAGAACACGAGATTTAAATACCGTTCCAGAAACAATATTAGATTTCGTTTATTAATGTTACTTCGTCTCGTCGCTTTTAAATTAAATATTCTTTCTGATTGAATCCACTTAGAAGTTAATCTTAAAGAAAAAGTTTTTATTTTTTAAGTGATACTACTTTTTTGATCTCGTGAGTACTTAAAATATGAACTGCTTATAAAAATGTCTTTACATTAGATCAGATTTATATAGTAAATTATTATTCCCAGTGGATTTATTTGGGCACTTCGCACGCACGCACACACGCGAAATTAATCTCCACGTCTCATAAAACAAAATAACTTTGCCGTGTCTGTCCGTTTGTTAGAATGCGATCATTTTAAGATATTCCGAGCTGGAATTCATGCTTTATCATATAGGACCAAATAATTACTAGTAAGTAAAAATAATAATCAAATAATAATAATAAAAATAATATTTATTTATTAAATCAAACAGTGTTCCCCTTATAAAAAAAAATCTTCTTACAAATTACTTAATCTAACATTTAATAATTCAATTACCTGCATATCCTTATATACTTGGCTTGGCTTAAACCGCTGATTTTTGATTTTTGGTCTTCCTTGCAACTGCCCTATTCCATAAACTTTCCACGTAACGTTTCGTGCTAATAAACACATCCAATTATAAATAATACAGTATCTTAAGACTTATCCATTAGCATATCCTAGTTTTTGGAATAACTGATATGAAACAAAAATTAACTAATATCGATATATCGTCGACAAACTGTCGACATGGACTTTCCTACTCTACGACATTAAAAATACGTAAGTTGGAGCAGGATAGACAATGAAATATTCCACAGGCAATAGAATGTACATTTTAAGAGTACAAACCATGAT